CTCTCTATTCATCTCCTAAATTGACCGGTAGTGTCACGACAGAAAACTATGTTAACATATACACCCATCAAAAGCAAAAGTAACTGCGCCAATCGAATCACATGAAAACCACTACTTCTCAACAGTTGTCACATGACAAATACGATGAAATCAAGGTCGGGTAGAAAAAAAAATAATGTGAGACCATTCGGGATTTCCTAGTTAACTATGACTGGGAGCGTCGGATACTAATGACTAGGGGTGTATTCGTGATGACAGGAAAAGAGGTGACGCAAACACTGACATTCTTGTGATAAAACTATCAGTCGTTATCCGACCTGCTGACTGAAAATATATACTTGTCAAATGTTGCTAAACAACCAAATTGAATCCGTTTTAGAGCTTTAGGTATTAACTAAATGTCTGAAGCTACGTAATCGCAAGTAAGCTGCAATAAAATTGTCATTTCAAAACACCTGCAATAAGAGTATATATTAGCAAATCACATTCATTCCATTGACACATTATTTCGATCTGGAATCGTCCGAGGTTTAACAAGCCGCGAAGGCACTTGGGCTGATGGCAGTATTGCAAGATTTGCATCGATTAATAAAACATCGTGTCATTCTTTTTTTGGGAGTCGATAGTGCTACATTACCAGCACACTCGTCGACAAAAGCTAACGCTGAATATCGCATGATGCCTGAGCAGATTTCTTCCAGCGAAGACGAATGAAAAGAGGTCTATTCTAACGGGTTTAAATCAAGCTGATCGGCACCTTTTACGTGCTTGTGCACTCGCACACAATGACACAACGGCGAACAGACGATTACGTCCACCCGGGTCTTGTCACCGCTTTACCTTCCTCTTTGTTCTCGGGTTTTTTGGATGCCAGCGTAACGGACAATATTTAGGCAATTTCATTGCAAAAACTACAATTTCAACATTTTGGTAACCCTTCTTCTTTGCCAATTTCCAATGGATCATAAGTTCGTACTCTTGTTTCTATCAGTTCATGTGCTTAAATTTAAAATCTATAATTTTATTCCATAACTACGAATGGTAATATTCTCATCAGTGTCATGGTTTTGCATAATAAATGTGCCGTGGTTCATCATAAGCTACAAATCTGCTTTTCATGAATTTTTTTCGAATTGTTTATGTATCTAGTTATTTGCTTAGTCTGACGGTTTTCCTGTACGAACCTTACGTCCTACATAATTGGTGCAAGTAAAGTGAGCTTCCACAATCTATAGCATGATCATGATTTTATCGGATTAATTATTAGTGATTTAATTAGCCAATCGCCTATTTATGTATTTAAACATATAATGTGCCAAAAGTCATCGATGCTTTCAGTACCTTTCAAATAATTAGTATATCGACGCAACTAAACATAATTCTGACAAAAAACCGCCTTGTATACGCTTCAGATCTTGACGATAACTGATGTTCTCTCCATGAAACAAGCCCCGAGTTTCTGCAATCAAACGATGTGCGTAAAGGTGAGTCACAACATACCGTTTTGAATGAACCAACTTATAGGATAGACCTTGTGATAAACTATCCAATCCTACTTTTTGCGAAAAACCCCAAGAGGTTGTGAAAGTTGATTCTTCTCCAATTTTTTCTTTTCAGGAAAAAAATTTGGGTTCCGGAAATAAAGCAGGAATAAAGCGACTGCCTAAAGAAACTGAGCTAAACTTACGACAAATGCAGTGAAGACTGAAAATTCGCCATTTGTAAACATTTAAAATTCTAGACCGTCCTTTCGGAAAAAAACTGCAGTATACAGAATAAACTTGCCTCGTACTGAAAATGAAACTCAATGAAGACTGAATGCAGAAGATATGCATCGAAGCCACCTCTACATTTCAGCTTCAGTGGGTTGCGAGTAATTTCTATCAAAATTAACTCCCAAGAGTCGGGCTAACACAAAATCTTGCCTCTTACAGTCGTGAAGAAAACAAAGAAGGCATTAAAGACTAGTTTAACTGAATCATATATTGCTGAATTATGTGGACTTATTCACCTTCGCTACAATGAATACCTCCATGCGGAGCAAATCATTAGGGCTCAAGCTGACTGGACAAATCTACTTCCTTGGTACCCGTCCGACCTTTCATTCGCGAATTCCGGTGCTGGGGACAGGGCACACAAAGCAAGGTCGTTAGACGAGGTTGCAAAGACCGTTGGATGCTACGTGTTCGGGTAAGAACACGATTTTTCTGAGTGATAAATTTTACGCTGGGAACCCGATGCCGATGTGCGTACTTAGAGTCGACACATACCTTGAGTGTTAATGCGTTTGTTTCGCTAAATTGGAATTTTTCACTCGGAATTTTGTGACATCCCATATGACACTGCTGGTGTTCGTCCTTTTCCTTAATCACACACGAGACTCGTTGATCTTTGGAAGTTAAAACAACGAGCAGAATTTTTTTTGGTTAATTTAACTGAACCTTTGCTAAGGTATTCCACTGGGCGAAATTTTTAATGCAGAATACAAACTCGTTTAAAACAAATGTAAAGAATTAAAGTGGCAAAGGCTCCACAGAAAATAGCATGCAATTTTGCGGCATTAATTTGCACCAAACTGGCAAAATACGCCGTAAAAGTCCAATTGTAATAACTCAAAAAAACATTTTTTTTCAAAATACCCACTGTTCAGTGGTAATATTACGATGCATGAGAAGGTGCCAGTTTAGAAGCGGATGATTGCCGTTCCAGCCTGCGACATGTCATCAACATGCACTGAATCGCTTCCCTTAAAATATGTTTAAGTCTGCAATTAAGTTGAAGAATTGGTGGACAATAGAAAGGAGGGTTAAGCCTCCATTCAACAGAGACGGAAGGTAAACAACAGGAGAGGATAACATTGAATCAAAAATAATCCAAGATTTCTCATAATGTCCCTCAAAATTATTTAAAACAAAAAAATACTGGGATGGCATGGTCGGATCCAGACTGTCGTGGTATCATGTGAAATAAGTATAAATGATTGAATTCTGTTATTAGTTCTTGATGAAACGTCACAGAATTAACGTATTCCATTGACTAGTAATAAAGTCGTTTAAAAATGTCAATGAAATATAGTCACGCAGCAACATGAAACTTGCCCAGCATTTGCCACAAAATGACCCAATTATCGCAGCAAAATATTAGTTGTAGGAGTGCCAATGTCATTGCACTCTTTAATTTTGTCTCACTCATGATCGAAAAGACTAAAAGCGAATGTATAATTTCTGCTTTTATTACGTCTTCCATCTGGCGTGGTCAATCTGGAGATAATTGGGTGAAAAATTTTATTTTACCAATCACAACATAACACAACGTTGGATCCAGTTTAGAAGCCCTGGTGAAACGAACAAAAGTGCGAGTTACTTATAAAACCGCGACAACTTTCCCCGCTGAGAATGAAGACGGTCGAAGAGACAAATAAATTAGCGATAGCAAAAGAAAGCATTTCATTATCACACATTGTCGGTGGCGGTACACAAATGACCGAAGTACGCTTGTCGAGCAGGAAGGTTCAAGCTACTGGCGAACTTTAGTCGAGGTAAGCGAAAAATTCCAGCACATCTACCGCACCGAATCTTCGATCCCAAAGAACATCAACAAAAAGCTGGCCTCGGATCAGTCTGATGGATGTGAATCGCTTGAAACGATTTCCTGGACTACTTTATTGTGAATTAATACTGCACGTATGGGAGTTTGATTTTTAACAAAGGGCATGCAGGCTCCATGGAAATTTTTCACTTCTATTCATGCTTTCAAAGCAACCACGCATCGCAGTAATAAGGCATTGTGCACTTGCGTCGTAAACAAGTGCTTTTAAAAACAGGCATCCACTATGTCCCTGGACATTTACTTCCTCACTATATTACTTAACACAAGTGTTAACGTCTGCTTAAACTCATCTTAAGGGTTTTCATGGAACTGATGAACGCCATTCATGCCCTTTGTTTCTACTAAACGTTTCAAAAGTAAAGTTGGGATAAAAAGTCAACCGATCCAAATTCGCAAGACGATTTTCATCTTGAGCGAAACAATGTGATCGACATCAGTCATAAGGCAAAACCCAAACTCACGGTCAAACGGCCATATTTCGCTGCTTCTAGGTAGGTAATTTGTTCTGCCAGTTGTTTGGCAGGAATATCGAGTAAACTGGATCGCCTCGAAGCCTGCGAATGTCGATGGAGTGTCGCCAAAGCCAACGGTGTTGCGGGTCCTAATAAGCGTCGGGACGTGGCCGGGGAGCTGAAACATGAAACTGTGGAAGGTCTTGCTGTTGACTCGAAATCGATGTCCGAGAGAGCCGCCGTAGAGACAGCAGGGGAGGATTGAAACGAGCTTTCTTCACCAGCCACGATAGAGAAGGAGTTTCGAGCAGACGAGATTATAGCAGCAGGAACTGTGGGTTTCTGACTCAGGTTGAAGCCACCGTTCTTAGTTGGGCTGGGTAAGGAGACCATGGCTCCAGCCACAGTGCCAATGGAATGCGACCTGCGGACGCAAAGGCCGGGCGAAGAAAGCTCCTCGCTGGGTGGAGGGGGAGTGGAAAGGGAACTAGTGGCAGAACGGTGCTCCTGATTTTGAGTCGACGATCGTCGTTTAATTTGGTTTGAGAGAGTGAAATCAATTGCTCTCGCCAAGCTCCCGTAGCCGTCATCCATGACACGTTCGCGAAAAGCGGTCAAGAGTGAGTAGATTTGCGAATTCAAGTCAGTAGATAGTTGAGAGATCTAAAGAAAAAAATCTTGATTTTGCACCCTTTATAGCACTTTTTCAAAAAGAGATCTTTGTGGAGTACCCTGAGCGAATTTGGAAGCAGTCCACAGCCTACTAACGAGGTCCACAAGGAAACTGCAAGAAACTGACTCTCGTGTGACATCAGGTTGTGCCGAACACCATTACCATAACACGCACACACAAAAATTAGAATTAGTGCCTAAACAGTAACATGAGCAACATAGCAAACACACGAACGAGTGATGTGTGATGCGGTGTAAGAGATTGTGCCATCGTAAGGCTTATCACGTGCATTATCAGAAAAAACATCCATTTATAATATTACTGAGATGTCTCACAAGCTCACCTCAAAAACACATGTATAATCCAAAATACTACACAAGTCTTATGAAAACATCTCTTTCATAGGCGATGTAACTTAACTTGGAGAATTTCGACACAAGATAAACAACAGCTGGCCCGGTAATAATTTGCTACGCAATTCAATTCGTAAAGATATCCGTGAATAGACTTCTCCCCTCCTTACGAATTCAAACAAATGATGATCCAGCAGATGACTGGATTTGTGACCTAGGTGGCCAGTTAGATATCTTAGCCTGAAACAACAGTGAATGACTGGCACACGTAAGTTAATAGATGCGACCGTTGCCGTGTAAGTCACAAACATGAGCAAGGAAAAGATACCAGTAGCAAAAGCTTGGCGTTACAGCGAAACACTTGACCAATTATTTGATTTAGTCATTTTTTTGGGTCGTGAATGACTTTCGCTGAAAAAAGAAGCTGAATCTCTACTTGCAATGTTCGCGGCGTGACTGAACTGTATTGCTCGCGTCCTCAAAGCTCCTCTTTTTGCTAGATTCAGGCAGATTATAATTTGATGTGGCTGCACTTTGCAATAAGGGAACTTACAAGTAGCAGAGGCATTTATTGGTGCTCTTTTCGTATTTTTATCAAACAGTCTATTTTATTGTGCGAATGTTGTTTACTGTTACAAAACTCATTTATCAATTAAAATCAGTGACACTTAGCGCATTCACTGAATTCTTTTGAAAACATTTGAGCCAAACTTTGGATGAATTGCAAATTAGAAAATTGACCTTTACTAGAGCAATGGAGCTATAACTGGCCTTTAGCACATGTTGTCACAAGAGCTGAGGTGTGTGTGTGTGTGTGTGGAAATCCACCATTGTCTTCGCTTAAAAAGCTTTATGTCAGCGGGCTGGGGTTTTACACTAATTTGCCACAACTGTAGTTGGAAACCCAATGAAACCGCAACTGCCTAATAGTATTGTCGACAATTTAGATGACCTAGCAAGTCCAGAATAATTCAGGCGTAGGCCAGGAAGTCCGGTTTCACATGACACAGCCTCTAGATGCTACTCCATGCGAAAAATGCAGAATTTGGCATTTATCACAACTTGACTCACGGTGTATTTTACGAAAGCAATTTCATGAGTGGAATAAGTTTTGTACATCAAGACAGCTAAACCAAAACACTGGTTCATAATTTAAGAAGTTTTGTGAAAAAAGGGTTTCAAAGGGTACTCCAATTCTAATGTGTGTGAGATTGTATGGATATAAACACATTTAGGAGAACGTCTGGAATAATCTTGCGTTATCTATTGCAACATTTAACTTATCAATGATGGGGGAAGAAACTGTAGAAAAAATTATGTTGACGGCCAACTTTTTGTCGTAAGGAAAACAGAGAAAAGTGTGAACTTGCGGCAATATACTGGAATAATATCAGTAAATTTCACTTGGCGTTGACATCGTAGAAATCACTACTTTGACTAGTCACAGGTTTTTTAAGAGAATAGCAGTGTGCACATTGTGGCTCAGCAAATAGAATTGAGACTTGATCGGATCGCGAATAAGAATAGAAATTTGATCCAACAGTACAATCCAAAAACATCAGGTTGATTTGGCCAACAGCTACTTAAAGTTGAAACAAAGCACGAAAGTAAAGTAGGGAAAAGATGAACTACGGGGATCTGCTAATGAATGTGTTTTTAATACTACGATCTATTCGCTGAACCAAAAAAACGTCCGGAAGACTAAAAACACAGGATTCTTTTTCATCATAGTATCATAATTACTTATTTATTTGTCTTTAAGCTTTTAATCTGTCCAATGGATAAACACGTTTGAAATAACTTCAATTCAGGTGTGTGTTCGAGGCAAAAATTAAACTCTTTGTCATGGTGGGAAGAAAAGGAACCCATGAAGTCTACCTGGAATAATTAAAAAGGCAAAAATCGCCTGCAAAGGTTAATTACGATAAATGACAAATTAGCAGTGAAACATTAATGTTTGGCTTGTTACAAAACCACCGGAAACTAGTTTAAAAATGCTCTTATGCATGTAAACCCAAACAATTGCTCCCAAAGCGAAGGTTATTCCCATGGCAGCAATGCCTTCACGGCAACACTTTAAGTATAAACACAGAAGCTGCATTTTTAAATGAGGATGAGTTAATTTCATGTACAATTCGCCTGCACACGAAATTTGAAACCTCTTCTAAATCCGAGCAGAACAGCTCTTTTGGGGATGTGCGAAGAAATTACACTGAGTCACCACAACCCGGACCCAAACTAGTGGAATTGATAAAACTTGCATCAACTCGCACACTACAAATGTAGGTGTTTATAGTTTGCCCATCAAAACTACCAAATATGACTTTACGCACATGAGCATCGAGAGTTGGAGGGTAGAACTTGACGTTTGGATGATGCGGAAGCACAATCCCATATTCGAGGAGTCCTTTCGATTTTGTTTTTGAAATGTAATTGGAAAAGGTGCCTTAAAACAATCTCTTGTATTACTACTAGAAGAATTCACGGTTTAAATACTTATCCCAAATGAAAAGATTCTGCGGCCTGGATTGGCCACTTGTAGCCCAATGTGAGCCCTAGGTTCGTCATGCAAGAAACCTCTTTTATTCCACTATTTACCGAACCCCTCGTTCCTACAAACAGTTATTGTGCGAAATTAATTCAACAATGAACGGAGGTAAATGTTTACAAATTCCTCTGCATTCATTCATTCTTAAAAGCAACGGTTTATCACATGATATCTAGGGGACTCAACCGCACTGTAGGGTATATGTGCTTATTTTCTGATTTACAAAGAGTTATCAGAAAAACAAAAAGTTAATTCTACTTTCGGCTGCAGACAACAAATAAAATCGTGACAGGGGAGCCTTGTCATGTGGGAACTTCGATTCGCTATCAGAGATGATTCGCATTAATTGGAGAATGGAAAAACCGTCAATTCCAAGGAAAGCAAGCAAATTAACGCGTGATATGAAGCCATTTATTTGCCCTTTACACTCCCTTCACTTGCATGACACCCGACAATCATCTAAAGAGAACACTGAAAATGCGCCTGTCTAATAAATAAGGAAATATTCATCAGATAATTAACAGCTTCTCGAGTGCCGGCATTCTCGTAAGGTTCCACGTAGGCACGCATGTTTCGTGGGCCATAACATTGCAAGATCTAATGATTAGGCCAGAGTCTTTTGCGTACAAATCACAGCATGCCGTATGTGTGTGCATAAATGCCAGTTGAGGTAACGGGTCACCTCAAGTGTACGCGTGAGTCAGCGATCGCATCTCGTTATCGCAAAATCATAAATCAACAAGAAAACACCAACCGACCAGAAACCGGGTGGAAACACTACATTTCAGATTGCACGACTGTTCATCACTCAAATACAAGTTACTTGCGACGCATGTTTTCGTTAAAGATAATGAGGGAATTCGCGTACGTGGTTGCTTACAGGCGTGCATGCTGGATGCGCACAACATTTCTAAGAGAAAAACATCCGGGCAAAAAGAGTTTGGGTATCATCGCAGGCACTTTGAAAACTACGCGCCAATGCCTTTGGGCTACATTCTAAATGATACTTAAGCCTGAAGGAAACTTTTTTCCTCAAATTAAGATGAATGCATGTTCTAGTTACACCTGTAGTTAGGTAAAGGTTACTGCACAATCAACGACCGTACAATCAATCTGAGCAAGTGGACAAGAGTTAGCATGGTGAAAACTTCAGCCAGATTTGGGATTTGGGTGCATTTTCACAGAAATGAAAAAAAGGAGGGTTTATAAATAAATACGTCAACGGGTTGGGCGAGGGGATAAATAATTAATGGATGCCACCTTCTTGCACGTTAGAAAAAACAGTTCACCTTGTTGAAACACTGGCCACGGGATATCTCTTTCGCATAGGATACTTATTGGCGCTGAGTCACACGATTTTATGCCCTTTTACGCTCAGTCGCCCTGAAATACGCAGCCAGGCGCTCATGTCAGGCAGCCACTTGGTTTGCCTGAGCGTGTAAACGATAAGCGGCTTTTTAGACCACCTTACCCCAGCAATGGAATTGAACATAGTTGAATGAGTTCCGTAATTGATGGTCGCTATGGGAGTTATACCCTTTGGGTGTGTGCATTTCATTAAAACGAAGTTAGGCTAAATTACTTTGCAATAAATCTTTCTCTGTAGGTGGAAATGACTTTCTGTGATTCATGAGGTACAGCTCAGCAGATGTTCAAGCAACGAAAACCGTGAGATCCGAAGGTCTTCGAATAAAGTTAGATGGTTATTTTAGTGAACACTTGTCGCGTATGCCTTCTGTAAATGCCTCGAGTAAACAACCAAGGTGACGATGTATAACAAAAGAATTTAATTACAATGTGCAATTTTACAAGTAGGGTGCTAAAGTACAATGGCTGCATCGTATTCGATCATAATTCTGATCAAACAATAGTTGACTCATCACAACTCACAACAGATAATAAACAGTGGAAGCACTCTGAAAAGTGTAAGGCAATGCAAACGATACCGTTGACTCGCTTTATTTTATACGGAAGGCAGATGGCAATGCATAATGAATTGTAGAGGTCATAAAATTGCCTGGAAGCAGCCTGCTATATGTTTACCTAAGCTCACGAGGTCATAATAAGAAGCTTTTATAATAAATAAGAGAAAAATGGGCATGCAAAGCGAGTGCCTAGAAAAAATTGAAATCAGCGGATCAAACCGGGAATTTACAGACACTCATCCGAAGCTAAGTTAAGCAGTCTCATGGACTGCAGAAAAGAACTCCGCCTTGCCTAAACTTGAAGAAATTGTGATAACTTCTTCAAAGGCACCAAATCCCAGTGAAGAAGCGTAGGTTTAGCTGAACGAAATAACGTACAAAAGCACTAGCAGATAAAAATCGGGAGGTACATACGGTAGACGCGTTAACAACTTCTACTAGACAAACGGTAAAATGCATCAGGTGAATAGCACAAAACCCTCCAATTTAAGGGTCAGTACCGTAAATGAATGAGGCTGGATGTGCTGCAGATCTGCCCACCACAAATTTCACCTAGCACATTCAATCAAGCCTCACAAACACAAGCGACAAGAACATCCGAATGTGGTCAAAATTCCTTCAGTCGTCTGATTTTACTTTCAAATGTGTCAGACCCAATTTCATCGCCTTAATTAGGCGAAAAAAGTCAGGCACACAAGAGGTAACGAAATTCTAGGTCAGGCATGGGATACGAGTGATGTAGTCGCGCATAATAACCCGATTCGACCCCGAAACTGCAATAAAAGTTCGCACTCCTCGTCTTTCGGGTGCAACTGTTAACGGTGGTGTAGAAACACTTCAGTTGCCGAAATTAGTTTGAAGTTATAAACCCGATGAAAACGCAGATTCAATTTTGTGCGCTAGAGAGGATAGTATTGGGATAATAGTGTGTGGCTAGAGTATAGCCTTGAATGAAGACATCTTGAACCTAGAGTGAAGAGAAGGAATAAGGAGGGAAGTAGTGACGTCCCAAAATCAGGATAAATAATTAGAGACTGTTACAATTGGGCTTCGTTTACCGAAAGAACGTCCTACCTTCAAGACCTGTTTTGGTGGACTTTGATTTGACAAGCCAAAGGGCATAGCATGTCGAAACAATTGACAACGACTACACTTTAGGAAAATCATGCCAATTCCATTACATTACAATTTTCGTGAATAGCTAATAACTGAGGCAAGTGGCTGCATGTAAGTAAACAATAGATCAATATTGGTGAGTAACTGTTTACGTAGTTCGCTTAAGTAAAAAACAGGACAGGTATGTGAGCTCATGACATTAGACTTTGGAAAAGGGAGAATATTTACCGTTGGGAGACTTGTTTCGACTGTTAGGTGTGCGTTTAACCACTATATTCTCAGCAAATTACAGACAGTTGATTGAATAAAGTTTCCCATTATTTGACACATCCGCATGTAATCGAAATTTCATTTTAGTTAGCCATAATTGTGGGCTTTTCTAGGCTCTACAACGGATGCATTTACCAGATTTCTTACTCATGGATGATAAATGAAGCAAAGACGATAACTATTAAGTACTGCTGAGTAATTAGAGAAATTACGCAGGAAAGGTTTTTACAAATAGACTGCCCTGAAATGGTTTCATACAATTTGTGCCTCTGGTGCTCATAAATACTGAAGTAAACATTATCAAAAGAAAGATGATCGACTTAAAGCGTCACACAAACACAGGGCAAAAGCAATCCTGAAAGGCAATCATCAACGCATTGCATTGGGGCAAAAAAGTCGGACAGTCGCCTCCAAAAACTTGGTTTGGCCTTAATACCCGCGGGGAAAGTTCTAAAATAATTCATTTACTCTACTTGCATGCACTTCTAGCAGGACACTGTCATCACCACGCACAACTGTCAACTAGCCGCGGATTCTCTACTATAAGCGTTCTTGTGGTCGTTCAAGGAATAACTGCTAAAGTTCATAAGCGGTGACAGCCTCCTAAAAGCGAAACAACCCATCACAACTTCACTCCTGAGATGATGAAGAAATTCGAAATTAGGATTTAAAATTATTCTTTAAATCAAGGAGAAAACTAAACTTAGGCGTGGAAAAATAGCCAAATTTAACATATACGCTCGAGCTATAGTGACCAAGAGTTACAAAACAGGTGAGCAGCATATTACAGGACCTAATCCTTTCGTTAGTTGCCTGTAAGTCAACAAAATACAGTCAGAATAGAAATCTTTTCCATCTTCCCCTACAAATTGAGGCACCTCGACATTAATAAGATGTTCATATAAAGAAACCATCACACGTTAGCAGTGCTTTACAAACTGGGTGCGGGATGAATTGTGTTTCTTTACTCTTGGGCCAAAATTTAAAAAAGAACTTACGACACGAATGAGGTAGGAGATGACAACATTGCAAATTTTCTCGCGTGTCTTTTCATCCACAGATGCGATCAGTTTTATGTTGGATTGAAATAGGAGGTAGCGTTGGATGAGACGTGAAATCAGCTCCTCAGAAGTAATGAAGGTACGGTACGTCACCAAAAAAACATCCAGTGTAAACAAAACTAAAGAAAGACGACAACTGTTGATTCTGAGTTGAGGTACCTTACGGTGCTTGACACAAACTATTTCCTTAGGCGCCATTTATTAAAGATAAATTTTAAAACTGCCAAATATGTGAGAGATACAGTATTACTTTGTCCGTAAATTCTTGTGATGCAACTACAGCGTAGCGAATTTAGGAATTATTAACTAAGATGAGTACAAAGAATCTAGTAGGCTGTTTTTGAGTGCTTAATTTCTGCATTTATGCAGGCAAATGACTGCACATTAAAAACAGTACGACAAATTGGCATGCTAAAAGTTACAGAAGGTAACGCTTTAAAGAAGGGTAAAGTTGGCAAACACACAAAAGGACTATATTACGAGTGTTATTAAAAAAATTGAACAATTGTCTGGCAGAAAACGTTTTACATTCTAATTAAAACATATTTTGTAAATACATAAGGCTGAAGTTGCAAATTATCCACCCAATATCCACCGGAATTGGCAACATGCATCTAGAAGAAGGATCGAGCCATGCGACATATTAAAGTATTTAAGATAAGAGAGGTTTACAAACAAACTGAGCCACCAAATTTAAAGTAGTACAATTATTTGTGAAACAAATATCTGACGGAAGAAGCCAAACTCGAACTCACAAGATCGCTGAGAACGACCCAATGAAGTGGCGTAGACGATGAGAGCATCAACCGTGCCTGCTTGAATTTGCAATTCGTTATCCTACAACCAAATATCGACAAAGGATAATAACACTTCGAAGGCTACGAAATACATTAATGGAATATAAGCATAATGGACTTTTGCGTTGAACCTGAAGTCAAACCCTTCGGTAGTATTTGAGAAAACGTTTAAACCTAAAGCCAAAACTTGGAATTTCGACGAAGGAACAAGCAAAAATGGGAAAGAGGTCCATAGGAGTTTTGCAGTTACAAGACCATGACTAAATTGACATTAATGTCATGCAATGGCGAAGATTCTACTCCCTGCCTTGTTTATATGCGCTCCAAAGCGAGGACTTGAAAGTGGCTTATAATGGAGGTTTCGATTGCCATCCGACAGGGAGTCAGCATCTCTACTAGCATCATCTATGTACGCCACAACGGTCAAAGCAACTGACCTGTTAACATCTTCATAACTCAGCCCAAACTAAATTGGCTTCACCGAAGTTAGCACAAATTAGATGCTTTTCGTTAAATTGGAGGGGCAAGTCGACCAAATAAGCCTAAGTCAGCAGATGTTATCCTCTCTATTTCTATTTGCATTTGCTTACTGACTAATAACTGCAAAATCTCTTCTAATTTAGCCGACCCTCGCAAAACATGATAATCTTCTATTATGATCGCGCCTGGGCTTTTCCCTACACCGCAGGATTCATTAATGGTCTCGTGTCACACAAAAACGTCAAAGTGTAAATTAAAAATTTGATGAGATGATGATTAAGACAAAGCGGAAAAAATCAGTGTTCTTGCTTATTTGATTTCATAACTGGAGAGAAAACAACAAACACCGACGCTTAGCACTCCAAAAAAACTAGCCAAAATGTAGTGTATGGTGGATAAAATCCTTAAAACAAGAGAACTAGCTAATTACACACATAAAAAACAACTTCATCGGAGTTCTTATTAAATATTTAGAACTCGGAAAAACCAATCTCCTCCTAGATGGTCGTTGTAAACAGTTATCTTTTTAAATCTATCAACGTGAAAAAAATAATTGCAAACTTTTCACACGCGTATTTCTGAAGATGACGTCGAGGTGTCGATTGAGTCATTGCAGCACCCTAATGCCGCCTTCTACTTTCTGCCTCAGTGATTACATCACATTACACATCACTACGCTTAATACCAGATACCAATCTACCAAGCCGACATTTTGTGCTTCATTCATTCCGAACATGACATTGTGCACCATCTTGTGAACGACTTCCAATCTGGCCTCGTCAGTCTAGTGGACGTGGTCCCAATTGCCTGGTTATTCATTCACATGCAACGCAGAGAAGCTAAGCAGGCACTCCACCTCACAGCCTTTCGTCTGGCACTTCTGTCAAACAAGCCGTGCTTGGTCAGTTGTCTCGTTATTATGCCGCTCCAACCGCCGACCTTTAATATGCCGCCATCTGCAAAGGTTGATGTGCATTCACAACTTTCGTGTCTAATGATTCTTCACTACCCAGTCGTTGCAACATCCTATTGCTCGTTTAAACAAGCAACAGTTAGTCCTCAACTGTTAGTTAGTCCGCAACTGTTAGTCCTCACGTGAAAGCCAATTTATCTTGCCTTTAAAAGCAGCAGAGGCGACTTCGTTATCGAAGCAGGTAGAGTGCCCTGCTTGCTTAAAGCAACAGAACTTCGACCAAATTGCCATGCTCAAGCAACTTGTAGGTCACACAATCCGGTTGCTATGGTTACGTTGTGCGCCTGCCTACATTACAGACATATGTGCTCACAGTTAGAATGAGAAATCGGCAATTTGCCTCTTGGCCAAAGCCCAATGTCCTAGGATGAAGTGTTATTGCACTAGTCTACCACAGACGGCTGTTCAATCCGAATTTGTCCAAAACAGACAATCGTCAATTTAAGGCATTCTTGTTTAAGTGCTAAAGTACTGATAGGTTAATTTTCTGGCTTTATTTCAGCCTTTGTCAAGTCGTAGTCATCAAATGACTGTATTCGTAGTGGATGCTTGATTTCGTGTGGATTTCAGCTTAACGCGACTTCCTTCGACTCCCCACAAGTCATATTGTATTTCGTCATTTTGACATTCTAATTTTCTTCATAATGGTATAATGTCAACCAAGTGTTTGCTCTCACAACCCCCCATCTCCAGGGTCATGCAAATGTTTACAGCTAGGCCTAGATTCAGTAAACCATTGAGCATGAAAATCACCGTCAAAGCCTCACAGCTCTCAGTCGCCATCCCTCCGCTTTTTAAGCCATTTGTTTTGGCTTGTGTTGGAGTTTACTTCAACCGGTGCATGGGCGGTGTGGTTTTCATATCAACAGTGATTTACACTTCCGCTTTGTACGCTTTACTACGTGCATTGCGGGTAGTGGCGAAGTGATCAGGTTGAAATACGTAACTTCGTATACAAAGAGTGAGTGCATGTCCTTGATTTCTTAGAACACTGAACTTTTCGACAAAGTTTTACTTAGCAGATGCACACTTGGAAATTTCAGGAGTCGTCTAGCTCCAATGTATTTACTAATATTGGAAGTCATTACCACCTATTATCCCTTCATTCCCTATTATATATTTTGTGCGAAAACGTCCATAGAAATACAGATCGGTCGATGCTTCATTTGGACGACATGTGTTTGTAAACCATATTCAACGGTTCTAAATTGTCCAGTGGATACGGTAGTAGATGTCAGATGATCCCTCGTCTAAGCTTCTTCATTTGTTTACTGTTTGCTTCTGTATTAGTAAAATTTGGAGAAGGGATTTGACAAAGTTCGAACGACAGAGCAGAAATACCAAGGGTCACAGCATGCAATTTTTGGCTGAAGGTTGCTCATGTTATCCAACCCTCAGGTAAAGTGTTCACCCAGAACAATCGGTTTGTCTTGTACACATTTTTAAATCTCCCAAGCCTTTAACCTATGCGTAAGCTTATGGCGCGTTGATTTGGAGCGCAAAACGGGAATCAGCGCATAGCTACTTTGATCATTTTAACCCTGGAAGTTCTAAAAGAAGCGGAGGCAAGTGTATCAGAAAATGAACTACATTAGGTGTGGTATGTATTTAAATGCGAAGCTTAAACCTTTCTCCAAACCATTTTCCTTAACCAGGAATTAATTTTCTAAACCATAGAGGTGAAAGTAAACGTGCTTTACCAAAATGCATGTTAAAAAATCTGCACGGCGTTTTTATTGCTCATAATTTTTAAAAATATATCTCTTGGATTTAAGAGAAATGGTTTTCAAAACAAATGTTAATTTTTACATGTTGCCTTTCCTAAAATTTTATTTTTTTACTTGGAATCAGACTATTTGCAAAAAAATGTATGAGATTTTCTGACCTTGAATTCTAACTTGTCAAAAGTTGAAATATTTAATTCTGGTTTATTACTTCCTATTTATAACTTTGAGTGATATCCTTTGGCACTGAAGTCCGTGAGCCGCGTAATTAAAACCTACCGAATTATTTTTGAATTCTTATTACTGTCGAAGTCATCGCGATTACCTAAATTTAGGCAGTTCCTCATATTTTATTACCACACAAACCACTTTAATTGTTGAACCTTTAAATGTTCACACACATATCCTGTGAATATCGAAAGGTTGTACCTCGACAGTTAGTGCTGGTTCAGCCAGCCATCAAATCATCTGTAAGTGCAACACGAGAACATGGCACCTATGATGGTTCAAGTGCATTTGATAACGTCATGCATTTAAATTCTGTGCTACCCTCAAACAGGTGATAGTTGCTTCTTAACCTACGCTTAGTACTGACGACGTCAGTATCACAATAACTTGGTCCATGTTATCGTTTTGCATTGTTGAAACTGGTCCTGCGACACTCCAGCCACCAGTCATCAAAGCCAGTATATAAAATCTCGTCTCGTCTTACATTAACCTACTTAGAAGACCATCGAAGTCAGTCAATGAAAACCGCACTTCCTGATCAACTGTTTATACAACTAGTAGACGGTTCTCTAGTAGTACCACGCCATAAATGTCTAATACATTGATCCTACCTAAACCCGGAAATTGGACTTGCATGCAGAGATTATCGAAACACGCGAATACATTAATTAAGGTGTCACTTAACCCCCTGGTTACAGATGCCAAAAACTGACTTCCTTTCAGACTGCATTCAGGATCGCTTCCTTATCAAATTTTATGATTCTGGGTCCTGTAACTTGTAGTTAATTTTGTTGATCTACTTTCACCCACTCTCTACTCCTTGTTCACACCGAGCCCGTCAGTCATGCAAAACCGTCTCCTCGTGCACCCTTGTGCATGTACCACTTAAACTTTACTCATCGGACCAATAAGACATTTGTATTTTTACAGGTTCATCCTAACTCTACTAGTCTATAACTACATCAGTCATGTACTACCTCGACAGCACAGGGTTGAGCAATCCAGTAAACTTTTATCTCCACCATCTCCGGTTTCATTCTTCTTCTCGAGTATTAGCGCTGCAAAAACTGCTCGGTGTAACTCATCTCTCCCCGGCGTGGTTTGAGACCACTTGACGGGGCCTTCAACAAACTGAACCGTTTTAAACCGCAAATATTACTATTTCTATCCGTAAATTAACCTTAATTTCCAAGAGGTATATCACGCTCAAGCAACCTCTTTCCTACGTCAATCCCTAACTATTCACTTCGTTAAACATAAATCGTTCAAAGGAACTTTTACGAATTACAACGATGTGGTTTGAAAATGGTGGTTTAAACCATATTTAGGAAGACTACAAATAAAGCCATTTGATAATGACGACCTGACAAGACCTGAAATAAAGCCAGAAAATTAACCTATCAGTACTTTAGCACTTAAACAAGAATGCCTTAAATTGACGATTGTCTGTTTT